TACTGTAATTTATTTATGGTTTCTTCCATAAGAAGGTCATTGCTTGCATTAGTCGACATGCACGCATCCCAATCTGCTGTAAAGCCCAACTATGTTTCTTAGGAAAATTTCATGCACGTATATGAGTGTATGTCATGCAACACCTATCATGTTGCTATCGATTAACGATAAGCTGTGAAATGAACTTAGTATGATTTCTTCTTCTCCCATTGAAAAGTTATGCATTTCCTAAACATTATTAATCATCGTTCAACATTATTGTACATTTTTTTTTGCTTCTAAACTTGATTCTGTACCTTGACGACATGTATGCACGGAAGACCGCTGCTGGTCGCTGTATGCAGAGCCGTTTCCCTCCTCTTGTTGACGGCGTTGATGTCAGCTCCAGCGTCTAGTAGGATCTTGACGGGCTCGGGTGGATCGAGTGAAGATGCTCCGTGCAGTGGTCTCTCCTTGTACCTTCATGGAATCATGTAACTTTTTAAATCAAAATATGTTGACAGTGAAGTTTCGGTATAAGAATGGCAGGCGATTATCATCAATTTTCTATTAATTGAATATGATTATTGCGGTAAATTTTAATCATTATTATTCTGAAATATCAAAATTGTATTTCTGAGCAAGGTTAGCTACTTGCTGTGTCCATACTTCACAGGATGTGGAACCAAAGACACATTCCAGTTGTGAGAATTTTCCTTTAATTCAGAAGCTGAAATGGCTAAGCCACGAGGAGGCTCGCGATGATTTAGAAAAAGTTGGCATGGAGAACTTTCTTTAATCTAAAAACAACTCTGTCCAATCAGGCAAGCTTCTCTACATTGAGAGGTGCCGTGTACCATTTGAAGACTTGAATAAAGAACCTAAATCATTTTTCGAATCAATGTCTTCATCTGCATTGGAAAATTTTCAAAATCGATCATGTATTCTCTGATATTTGCAGAGATTTGTGAAAAACCAAATTTGCGAACTTTTGTAACAAAGCCTCAAAGTTTTGTGAGGACATTCGGGCAAGATCTTTCGTCCCGGACCACAAGGCAGCGAAATGTACTTTTTCCTTTCATTTCCTGGTATAAAGGGACAAGTGACTCCTTTCTCTTAGTCTCCCTTATTTGGTACGTCTCGTAAAGGCTTTTGACAAAAAACGCGATTCGTTCTTTGTTCTCTTTCTCTATGCATAGGCGTCTCTATGTAGTTTTTATTCTCTGCAAGCAGGAAAAATTAGTGGAGCACCTATTCTCGGCATTGACGTCTGCACCGGCGCGAATGAGGGCTTTCATGCAGTCTTCGTTGCCCTGTACGGCGGCCGCGTGGAGGGCGGTGTTCCCCTTGGAGTCGGTTCCGTTCACGTCGGCGCCTTTCTCGAGCAGCAGCTACCAGAGCAGGACGACATTCCGTGAGGAAATACGAGAGGAAAAGAACTGAGGCCAATCAGTGCGGCTGAAATCATTATGGACTGAAATGAAGAGGTTATGTGATGAGGTTAAAACAGGATGAAGGGGCTGCTAAAAATTAGGTATGAAGGATGTCGAAGTGTGACGAAATACTTGAGAAAGAACAAGGAGGAAATATTAAGGAAAATGTAGCGAGAAAGACACAATGAAGAAAAAATTAAATACCTTAAATACCTTTTAAAAAAAAACGTAAAATTTGCATAAGGGGTCATATGAATGAAAATTTGGAAACCTCGACTTTCTCGACTTCGTCCCGACTGACGGCATAGATGAGCAGAGGCTTCTTGCTTCCCCTCTCCCTCGCGTTCGCGTCGAGCCCGTTCTCGAGTTTTTCCCTGAGCCCCTCCGCATCCAGCTCCGTCAAGGACTTGAACTCGGAGTGGCTCACGTCCCGCTCCGTCCCGACGAAGGTCGTGTACTGCACCGGCTTCTCGGACCCGGCGGACTCGGCGGACCTGACCTCCTCCAGCAGGGCTTCATCGCCGGTGTCCTCGTGCCGCTTCCGCTTCATGGACGTCGGGGGCACGCCCTTCACCGGGTTCTCCCGGTGCGGCGCCTGCATCTCGCCTCTGCGTCAACGCTGCAAACCAGAAATGGTCGCATGTAAATGACGCGAAGGTGTTTCTCTTCTCTTTATAAAACCAATAGGCATATGGAGTTGAGGAATTTTAACTAATGTCAGAAAAATTATTGTAAAAATAGTTTTCAAGATAGTGGATACATTTCGGGCATCGCCCCTTGGATATCGCCAGTAGGAAAAATTTTTTCAGTCTGCAGTTTTGCAATTTTTGAAGTTATATCCTCGTCCTTAGATGTAGAAAAGACGGAATGCTGAAAAAGGGTTATGATTTTTTTTTTGCTGCATCATTCTACTTATAAAATTGTGTCGGTTGATGGGCAAACGATGTAACCTTACATTGGAATAAGACCATGAACTCGAGAAGAAATATAGAAAAAACATTCATCGAGCAAAAAAAAAATGAATAACATGAATGGAATTGTTTAAAAATTCAAGCAGCTTGTAAATGGCTTCATCCGGGATACATTTCGTGAATATTCCATTTGTTATTAATTTTTTTAAAATGAAAGATGCTGGTAATTTTTTATTCTACCATGAGTCTTTAGGCAATTGTTTCGTTGATACACATCACAGCAAGTTTGTTGAAATGCGAAGAGTCACTTTGGAATTCATGTGATCGTTGTAGGAATAACAGCGTCATCGATCTGCCGTCAGAGGTGCTGAAATTAATTGAAGGTATTAATTGAAGGGTTTTTCGGAGGTATGAGTAACTCCTGGAGAAGATGCATAATACACATTTAAAAAATGCAAAATCCAGACCTGAAATATGGCAAAAGCGTCCAATATTCTTGAAAAAAAAAGAAACTTCAACTTCAACATTCATTCATCAGAAGGTCAACAGTGGTCACCGTTGAATCCAATTCCACCTTTGAGTCACCGTTGAGTCACCGGTGACAATATTGTAAGGATAGTTTCTTCCATGGCCGACTGTTGAATGAAACGGTCCGACCTTTGCGACTCGGCACAGCAGAAACACAGTTTCATGACATCGGTCCGAAGCCCTCGTGCACTTCTCAAAACGAAGATTTGCCATGAAAAGCACATTTTGGTAGGAACACTCCCATCGTAGAGTTGCTCTGCCGCTCAAAGGAACTATGACACCAATGACACTATCATTCAACTGGCTGAAATGCCCCTTTATCCTTTGCGGTTCCATAAGCGAGCCTTCGAGTGCATGAGGTTGGGGTAATAAAAGGAAAGAAGGTGTTCAATGATTTTCGTGACGACCTTCCTGCCAGGATCCTCTTTCTCTTTCGTTCTGTCTTGAATAGGCACTGCTGCAGATCGAAGTGCATCAGATCCTAATCAAATTAGCATTTGTAGTGCATTCGAAGAATTTGGGCCGTGGGCGGCACCTCCAGTATGCCTCTCAATTGAGAATATTCAGATAATATTTTATGACCCCTTAATGATCTCCCTTCACACTCCCCGTCCCCTCTTCACCCTCCCGTCCTCCTTCACACTCCCGTCCTCCTTCACACTCCCCTCCCCCCTTCACACTCCCCTCCCCCACTCACTCCCCCTCCTTCCGCCGTAAGCATGACAGACGAGGGAGGAGGAATTCGCCGGTGTGACAACCGCCAACATAGCTTTAAACGAAATTCCCGTTCATAATGAAGGAATAAGGCAAAGCGTGCCGCCATCGATAAACAATTTTCTGCAATATGCACAGAACGCTACTATCCAAAACACATCGGACACATGACTTACCTGGACCCAGAGAGCAAGTCTTCTCACCCAGCCATCCCGGGCAAGTCTTCGCAGCCGGTCTTCCCGACGAGCCTTCCCGGCCATTCCTCCCCTCCCCGATATGCCACGGTCCCCATGCACTCCCGAAGGTCACGATCGACCGGATACGCCGATGCTAAGCAACGGGACGGGCCCCGTCCACCGGCCATTTGCCGGACATCGATACCCGCATATCCCGGGATGCGCTTCACTCTGGGGAACGTGAGTTCGGCATCTTTTCCCACTCTATTTCCCCCTACCCCCCCCCCCCACTCGTTCTCCCGACTTGTATCATCCTTTGCCCTTCCGTCTTTTGCCCCTCCGTCCTTTGCCCTTTAGTCCTTTGCCCTTTCGTCCTTTGCCCTTTCGTCCTTTGCCCTTTCGTCCTTTGCCCTTCCGTCCTTTGCCCTTCCGTCCTTTGCCCTCTTGTCCTTTGCCCTTTTGTTCTTTTGCCTTTTGCCCTTTGATATGAATTAGCACCGAGTTTAATGCATCTGTTTCGTCGCCGTTTTCTGGGGAGAAGCTCGGTCGTCGTCAGCGACGCGTTTTTGGAACTAAGGTGCCGACTTTCTCCAACGAGCTCGGAAAATTGCATGCGATTTAAAAAAAAAAAATATTTTAAATGGAAGAGTTAAGAGGGCGCGAATTATCCAATCGCCATTCCACCTCATTAATGAAACCTGGGTAATTAACAGAATGACGACACTTTCGTCCCGTCCAATCGCGATCGACGAAGACTGACCTTTATCAATCCCTCGATGTCGGTTGAGAAGGGCCTTTACAACAAGTTAAAGTGAAAGGATTATAAATTATTGGACAAAATGCCATACAAAATAATAAAATCTTACGCAATTAGATGCATATTAAAAAAAAAAATTAGGGCTGCGCCGATATATCGGCCGCAGACGTTGCACCATCGGCAGCTGCCGATGCCGACGCCGATGCCCCAAAATAGGGGGGAAGAAAAAAAATGTAAGAAGCGTGGGAACGTGACGTCCAACCGAACGGCCAGTCCAGACAAAAATATCGATGGGATCCCGCGGCGGGAGCGTTGGAACAGACGAGAGGAAAGCAGGAGCGGGAAATCGATGCAGCAAATTATTTATCGTGTTTAGGAGGTCGCCGTTGAGCATGGGGAAATAGGTTTATCGAGAGATTTTGGCGGATTTTTTCCCCGATTGTCAGGACTTCGGTGATCTTGGAAGCAGATGAGAATTTTAGTTATTTTATTTATTTAGATGATGGGCATGGGGACGCTGGGAGCAGTATCTCCGGCCACGCAGGACGGCTTCAAAGGTTCCAAGAATTTTAACGAAATTCATATAAATTCAATGATTTTATGATAATATATTTATATATATATTTATGTGTCCAGGGACCCTGTTCGCCTGCGGAGAAGAGCTGAAGAACGGGTCGGCCATAAGCAAGAAGCGACACGGGATCTACCAGGTCGACCTTCAAGGTCAAAGGCCCCCGATGCCCTGGGTGGCCCACTACGACGTGAAGGGCTTCATCTCGGCATCGTCCGGGTCGCTTTTCTTCGGCCTGGACCGGAAACTCCACATGTTGAAGCTGCAGGGCCGGAATCCGAAATCGGGGCCTTTCCCTTGGGACGACATCATCTTCACGCCCTTCGAAGTGAGGCAGTCTTCGGCCTGTGCCTCCTCGCAGAAACTTTACATTGCAGGCAGCGAAGACCCGATTTCGGCCCACAAGGTGGCGGTCTACGACGAGGCGTCCCAGCGCTTTTACGCTCTGAATCCGATGACTCAGAAAAGAGAAGGCCATTCCTCCTTGCTCTGGGAGAATAACCTGGTGGTCGTCGGGGGATTCCACGATGGAAAGTCTCTTGATTCCGCGGAATTCTTGGATCTGAGAAGCGGGAAATGGACGGCCATGCCTCCTCTGCCTGAGCCGCTCTACTTCCACGCGACCTCCATCTGCGAGAACAAGCTCTTCGCAGCCGGCGGGTACCTCGAAACGGAAGGACGGAGCAATCGGGTCTGGTCACTGGACCTGGGCGCGATGGCGACCTGGGAGGAGCTGCCTCCCATGATCTCCCCGAGGGACGATCACGGCATGATCGCCACCGAGGACGGATCTCTCGTCGCCATCGGCGGGAACCGTCCCGGGCCGCCGACCGTCGAGGTTCTGCAACGAGGCGGGAAATGGGTCGAGCTGGGTCTCAAGTTCAACTTCAAGAACTTGGATAAGGCAACCATCATGAATCTCTGATTTCTCTCGTCTCTGAAGCTCGCTCGTAGCAACGGACTCCACCGCTCTGGTAACAACTTGACTCAGGGACGATCGTGCCTTTCCAGCAAGAATCAAGGAACATTATTTCTCGTGTGCATATTCCCTCTCTCACGCTCACTCTCACGCGTGAATGTCAAAGTTGCCACGCTCCAAGCCTCCACGGGACCCGAGTTCATCCAAATGGATTAACTTTTCGTGCCCATTTCAAGGGATTCTCGATGCTGTTGAACATCCAAACAGGATGCAATAAACATGCAATAAGCATGCAATAAACTATTTTTCTCCGGGCGAATTCAGGAAAGTTCTGAATTCTTCGATTATTTTCGTCGACCCTGACGAAATCCGTTTCGCGCCCGTGAAGCATTAAACTGAAACATTTAATAAGGGACATTTCGCATGCGAATTGACCGGATTCCGGGACATCCTGCATTATTGGAACGCTAGAAATGAAGGACTGTCGTGAGTGGATTTCAAAGTGACTCCGACGAGGCCGCTGGAACTCAAGACGTTCCATTCTTCATCCATTATTTGCGCATGAGACTTCTCGGATAGGTCTTCATTGTTGCTTTCATTTTTATTATTATTTTTTTTTTACTCTTGTGAAACACACGTACAAAAATGATATATATTCGTGCGATGAGGATTTTCCATTGGCTTCGCCTCGCGGAAAAATCCTATTGGGTTCCTATAAAAATCCCAAAAGATATTCATGCTTAAAAAATCTCCTAGGATCTTACAGGACCATTTCGCAAGGGTCCACACTTGAGCGATGCGTTCCGTGAGGGCCCAAGAATAGCTGATTCAGTGATCTCATCCACCTCGCAGTGAAGGAAATTTGAAAGTCTCTGCTCCTTATTGTTGCAATAAGGTTGCAATAAGGTTGCAATAAGGTTGCAATATTGTTGCAATAAGGTTGCAATATTGTTGCAATAAGGCTATCTCCGACTTATTGCGGAATTTCCCTCTTAAATTACCTTCAACTCCACAATCTGAATTCAGAATTGGCCCAAGGAGAATCACCAGTCCTCGTTGTGCACCACAGAGTGCTCAAGGGTTGCTTGCCCCCCCCCTTTGCCCCTTGCCACCCCCCCCCCCCCTCGGCTTTTTCACCTTGAATTAGGGCATTGTAGTTTTAGTGGATTTACGTTGTAGATTGGTTTACAAGCGGGACTATTAGCTTTCCGTTAGGACTTAGGAATTACAGGACCTCTACTTAAAAGGTGTGGACGGGACAGATATAAATGTTTCCGCATAGCAGCCCGGTACATCAGGCGATCATTGCATGAAGAATCCCTGCGGAATGGACTCAGTGACCTGTTTTAAATAGCGTCGTATTTAGCATCTTGCGTAGCGTCTTGTGTTGGGGGAACCGAGCGACCGGGTTCGAGCGGACCAGTTCATTTCCGGAGGTTTTTTGTGAAGGTCACAATGCCAATTGGCCCACTAAGGGGAAAAAAAAAGCTGCAGCTTGGGTAGGAAAAGGAGGCACGTGCGTGGGGCGATGAAAGCGGCATCAACGTTGTCCGTTTCCTTCTCTTCGCAGAAATTAAAACAATGGGATGATATAGGAAAGCGAAAGCCGCATAAATGGCATGTTGGCTCCCTCTTCTCACCTTCCATCAAAGTTTCGTCATTTCAGTACGCTTTGCAGTACTTTGATGCCTGCGTCTCATATTGGGCCCATAATGAATCCACTTAGGGGAGAGGGGGTGGGGGGAGAAGGGGGGGGGGGAGAAGGGGGGGGGGGGGGGGGGGGGGGGCGCGGGGGACAATAAGCCC